CTTTAGTAGCGTGTATAATCTTTGTAGATTTTCATGATTTCTTCTGTCTTTTCCTCGCATTTTTCCCTCAACCGACTGACGAAAATCTACAATTCAAAGTTCAGGGTTTTTTTTGTACTGTTACAAGTTGATGCAGCATCATAGAACACCCTATCACAGGCGATAACATTCACATAAGCCACTTTTAACCTTAGATTATTATGATTCATTTATTTGCTTGAGTTCGGGGCTGTACGTCTCAGGGTGGTCTGAGAGCCACGGAAAATATAAGCTATGGGGAGAGGATGGAGCTCAGTAGAATCTCAAGAGAATGCTTGAGATCATAAATATGTAATCCAGTTTAGTTGGCAGTAGATACTTGGCCTGCTAATTGGCATCTTAATTCCCGTGAGGCCAAGTCCCACCTCCATTGTATACTGCAAACACTGTTATTTATGTGTTACCGGATCCGTACGTGGACGCCAGTATTGAAACAGTTCATGCGCAGTCCAGCCTCTGTCTTCTCTCAGAGTCGCACTGGCCCACCTCGCTTCCACGCAGACACAAACGTTGATCTTGTCTGTTTGTTAGCATACGGGGTCTTTTAAATGATTTGGGTGATTTTTTATTGCTAGTGGGGTGGGTCGAAGTCCCTTATACTGCGGCCACTTCTGGCCTATTGTACCAGCCCCAGATGATAGGTGAGGGTGATTGTGGAGCAATTGGTGGAATGAAGATTGGCAGGGGAAACCGAAGTACTCGGAGAAAACCTGCCCCAGCGCCACTTTGTCCACCACAAATCCCACTTGACCAGACCTGGGATGGGAAGCCAGCGACTAACCACTTGAGCTACGGCGTGGCCTATTTAGGTGACAAGAAGTTGGTGTATTTTCGAAACGGTTACGGATACAAACATGAAGCAGTTTGAAGCCTACAAGGGAACTCGTTAACTTTTCGTTGATTATAGCATATCACCTGCGAGTGGCGCTCCGATCGCTGTCAATAGAAAATGGCGTTTCAGATGCAAAAGGCTTAGATAGGACGAACAGGAATAATTCCTTAGACCCTTAGATTCCCGGAATTCTAATCATGGGGATGTGTGAAATACCAGGTACACCAACCTCCGATGCTAGAGTCCCTTCGAGAGGGAATGTCACTTGGCGTAGTCAACGTCGATGAGTAGCAGTTGCAGAGTATATGGGAAGAATTCGAAGGTCGCTTTCACGTTTGCAAGGCAACTAATGGAGCACTTATCGAACATCTATAGAGAAACGTTATGAATTTCCTTGCTGTTTTAAAATTTTTCATGTTTGTATCTATCAGAGTTTTGAAAACACATCAATTTTTATCACCTATATCATTGTATATTTTACTTCACCTTCTACGCTATATTTATCGATATTAATGTTTATTTTGGGATTATATATATTTATAATTATGCACCGTAGAGATTGTGAGGGATGCTGATTTTGGAAACTGACACAATAAAGGGTTTCACCACTTTCGCACTTCAAATATTATCAGAGCAATACTATCAAGAACATGTCGTTGCCTAGAAAGGGCTCTGGTATATTTGCTTATATCGCGGTCGTTGTATAGTAACGGCTGTAAAGCTGGGTCTTAAAAAATAGGATATGAGCATGCTGATTGGATTAATGTGGTTCAAGATAGGGGCAAATGTTGGGCTGATGTGAATACATGCGTAGTAATCTTAGGGTTTCATAAAGGGCGAGGAATATCTCGTTACAAGACTGCTGGCTTTCCGTAAAGGTTTCTGTACCCTGAAGGGAGTTATTGAGTTATGCATGTGTAGTAGACGCCGGTCGCCGGTCACGGTAGCCGAGCGGTCTAAGGCATGTACCGTCTTCGCTCGCTCGGAAGCCGGGATCGTGGGTTCGGATCTGTTTCCTGTGAGGTACGAACTGAATTCTTATATATTATTCTTATACACTGCCGGTCACGGTAGCCGAGCGGTCTAAGACATGTACTGTCTTCGCTCGCTCGGAAGCCGAGATCGTGGGTTCGAATCCCACTCAGGGCATGGATGTTTAGTTTGTGTGTGTGCGTTTTTCTGTGTTTGTGTACAGGTAGAGGCCTTGCGATGAGCTGATCACCCGCCCAAGGAGTCCTACCGAATGTGTAAGATCTAGAAAAACCGAAGTGAACGGAGAAGTTCATGGAGGTAGGCCTAGGCCCACTGGGGCTGTAGTGCGAAGGAAAAAAAAAAGTAGACGCCGATCTGTGTAGCCAGGCCATATAAGACCGAGTTAACACAAGGTTTGCGAGTTCGAATCCAGTGTAGTACATGAATGTAACCCAGATGAGATGCTCGCTATTGTGAAGAAGTGGAAATGCTCGTACATGGAACGCAAATACAGCCCACATTGCAGCAGACAGGCAGGCAGATCGGCTTGATAGTATCGAATCACGTTCCAACTATGAGAGAGTGATGATGAAACTGTAGCAGTAATGAGTGACTTGGAAGAACGCAATCCCGCATCGCAATAAACAGACCCTACGGTTCAGAAAACTTTTATACAGTTTTTTTTTCCTCTATACATCACATATGACACGCCTCCTCCACGGTAATGTGGATACGGTTGTTCATACGGTTTATAATTGTGTTTGGTGAGTCGCCTAAACGAGTGGTAGAAAGGACTGCACTATCTGTACTGAAAACTCAGTTAAGTAAATGACTTAGAAAAAGGAACTGGCCATTTGTCACTTGTAAATTTTAGACTTTTTCTTTTTTCTTATAAGAATATCTTATAAATTGATACGTGCCGTTATTAATGTCCCTAATTTAATAACATTGAAACGCTGAAAATCTTTAATAATTCTCGATATGGGCGTACCTACTTGGATGTTGCTCTAAACTTCATTAACGTAGAAACGTGTATCGAGATGCAAGCTGTATCCACTTGACAGCAAATCTTAATGTCACCACAATATACAGTGTCTATTCCTTAACCAATTAAGTCTAAACAGGTTAAAGTATTCATCATCTACAGCAGTGGCCGTATTCGGGCTCCAGAATTTCTTTTTTTACCTTTTTCTTAATCTCCAATGGGGTTTCTCCATTTGGGATGGAATTTCGAAGGCAAATGGTTTGTGCCATTCGTTGCATTTATATTTAATTATCTCATATAAATAGAGAATATCTGCTTATTCCGTAATATTTATACCCTTATCTTTATTGAAAAGGAATTCATTTGCAGCAACCACGAATAATTCGTTTCTGCAGTATGAAAGAAGTTTTGAGGCTTGGGTATATACGTAGTGTGTTCAGAAACTATCGAACCTTTGGTCGGCAGAAATACATTTATTGGTTTGGAGGTACAAAACCCTAATTCCCTTCAAAGTAGTCTCCTTGGTAATGCACACACTTCTCCCAGCGCTTCCGCCATTTCGGAAACACTTCTGGAGCGTGTCTTTTGGAATGGTGATCAGCCGGGCTGTCGCATTCTGCATGATGTCTTCTCGTGACTCAAATCGGGTTCCTTTCAGTGGCATTTTCAGCTTGGGAAACAGCTACTGTCAAGTGTGACGTAACATTCTGAGGTAAAGGTTTTCTTTGTTATTAAGCCGCATAGTTTCGCACTTATTAACAGATATTTGGAGGAACGTGCTGCCTCTATCTTCAGGGTATTGTCACCAATACATCGATATGGAAAATTTGAAATTTCACATATACTTTGAGGTTCTACAGCTCTTTGGAGTTTGGCCATTTTCTCAGTTTCTTAATCGGTGAGACTTCTTGGACGGGGGATAAGCCCGTCACAAGTCCGCTACCTACACACAGATATCCATGCCGATTCGAACTCATGACGCCAGTATTCGAGCGGGCGAAGCCAATTCATGCCTTACACTGCGCGGCCACTGTGATCTGTTTGTGCTGGATTATATTTGAACGTAAATGGAGGAAAATTGGGGACAAATGTGAACAGCCTTAAAACTTGAGGCTTAGCATAGCCAGCGAAGATAAGTATATCTGTAAGCTCGTTAATCTTAGGAAAAACAGGAATATTAATTTGTATTTGGGCGTAGATATTTATATCAATGGTATGGAAAATGTTAAGTGTAATTATCTTGAAACATTTCTTTGTCTGTGTTTCACTGCCGTAATTTGACATTGGTCAAACATCAATTTTATTTTATGCGGTTCAGCCGTAGCTCCTAGTTCTGCCCACGTATGTTCATCGAACTGTTCCACTCTTGCTTTTCAATTTTGAAACTTCAGCTTGAGATTGTGTAAGTACGCCTATGGCTACAACTATTCATAAACAATCCTGTTACTTGTTCCTCTATTTATCGTAACAGTTAGCATAGATCTTCTCTTCCAGAAATCACTTTAGCTCCTACTACTAAAACATTTTACAGACAGATTGGTTATTGGGTTATTTAACAATGCGATATTACCAGCAAATCTTATTTAGCATTGAAAGAGATGAAAGAAAAACTGTACCCGGTGAAATGGAATATAAATGGGTGCGATCAGTGCCTGTTTCAACGCATGGCCTGCTTCAATTCGTGGCCTCGTTCAACACATTGCCTAATTCATCGCGATTCCTGCTTCAATGTGTAGATCCTTCAACGCGTGGCCAGCTAATGCGATGCCTGCTTCAACGTATGGCCTTTTTCAACTGGTTGCCTAATTCATCGTATGGCCCGCTTCAATGCGTGGTCAGCTTCAACGCATTGCCTAATTCAGCGTATGGCCTGCTTCAATGCGTGGTCAGCTTCAACGCGTTGCCTAATTCAACGTATGGCCTGCTTCAATGCGTGGTCAGTTTCAACGCGTTGCCTAATTCAGCTTATGGCCTGCGTCAGTACGAGGCCGACATAACGCGTCGTACAGTGACAGCCGACGTTTCAGATAAGATTCCAAAGGCGGGTTTGCCGGACTGAAGCTGACTGAAGCTGTGTAAGACAGAGCCTAGCAGTTTTGTGGGGGACATGTGCGGTCTGTGTTATGGAGGAGAATGAGAGATTAAAGTAAAGTACATGTGCCTGTGTTGCAGTGAGCGGGAGGCGAGTGTGATGCGTGCCAACAGTTGGCTGTACCACTACTACATGGTGCAGAGCAAGCTGCAGTATGGGCTCGCGTACGAGGCGCACACCGCCTCCAGAATGGCAGCAGCAGCCGCCGCAGCATACTACCACCCCCACCCGCCGCCACCTCCTCCACCTCCACCCCACCCTCAAGTCATGTCACCATACCCGCACCACGACCCCAGTCACCATTCTAGCTACCTCCACCATCACCACCACCAGATGTCTCCTGCACCTTCAGGGGTAGTTCCCACCCATCACCATTCCCACAGTCACCACCAAGGCCTGAACGGATCTGCCGCTGGACAGCACCACCACCATCAGCTACAGCACCCCGCCGACTCTGATAGCCCCGGGTACCAGATGTCTTCAGTCGCGCAGCCTGAGGGCGCCCCTGCCTCGTATCGGTACGGCCGTCGGGCGGAACCGGAACCTGTGGACTATTCGCTTCACCCGGCACATGGCGACGACCGATACCTGCTGCCTGTCGAGGAAGTGAGAACCTCTCCCACAATCAGCACACAGAAGAGGAAGTCCATAAGCAGTCACAGTGCGACGAGGAACAAGATAGACTTAATGAAAACACCTGCCGTTACGTCACCACGTTCCTCTCCGTCCACGGAAGTGATCGTTGATCTTGATCGCGGAGGAGGTGGTGGTGGTGGAGGAACAGTGCTGGTGACGTCATCTATGGTGACAGCGCTACAGCACCCTCTAAGTAAAACCAGAATTATAAAAGCCGCAGTTGTCGATCCAGCGGAGTTCATGGAACAGTGGAACCCGAGTCCGCCATGGTCTGACACGACGGTCCAGAAAGTGCCCGATATCATACACCAAGATCTCAGTCCCTATATGACAACGACACCGCCAACACCTACGGGCACACCAGGGAGTCTGAACGGCGGAGGAAGCAGCAGTAGTGGGGGTGGCCTGTCGCACCAACCCTCTCACACGGCCTTCACGTTCGACTGGACGCCAGAGCAGTACGTGCCCAACCTACAGAGTGTCCTGGGAACTTCCCGATCGTCTGTGGGGTCGGCATCCGTGTCTGATGAGGAACAGTTTCGCCTGATGGGGGCGGCGGTGGCGGCGGAGGCGGCGGCTGCATGGCCCAGCGAACATAGAATGTTCCCTCTACAACCACCGCCCCCACCGAGGCTGGGGCTGGGTCTTCAGCTTCCTCCGGGGAGATTAGAGCAGGAAACCACAGAGCAAACTCCAGTCAAAGGTAAGACGTCACATCTGAAGGGAATTAATTTCATCCTTCGGGACAACGGTCTTCAGACCTAGAGTAAATATTCCGTGATTATCAACATATTTAAGTCATATCCAAAGTTAAGACTGGGGTAACTGAAATGGGTCCGCATCTGAAGTGAATATTGCGTCGGTCTTGGAATGACAAACAATCCAGTGCAAACAAGTTCATTGTAAATAAACAGATTATTTACAGCAAAACTTGTTTTCGCTGGACGGTTGGCTCGTCATTGCATATAAATGTAACGAGGAAATGTCTCATGTTAGAATGAAACTACGTCTTTTCGAAGTTGTTATTTTTGCGTCGTTTCCTGATTTATTTGACGATGTACTTTTAACTCCATACATTGTGCAACCTTGAATGCGACTGTTTTTGTATTTTTTTTTTATTTTTCCTGATTTTCAACGACACATATTAACTCTGTGGACTATGCAGTGTCTGCAAATTCATGTCCTTGAATTAAACCACGTGACTATTCTTGCATATTAAGCCGAAAATTCCCCTTGATAATTAAGCAGCAAAACTATGGCCCTGGGGTCGCGTCAGCCTCTAGCAGAAATAAGTACCGGGAATATTCCTGGGGGGTAAAGAGTGGCCGGTGCGTAAGGCTGACAGTCCCACCGCCATTTGTGAGTCAATTAACTAGAGAAAATGTGGGAGCCTCGACGTCTCACATCCCTATGGGCCTCCAAGGCCTGTTATAGTACTCACTTCTGCCAGCGTAACGTGGATTACTTGGCCTCATGTGCAAGCGCGCATGAAATGTACTTGTGGCAAAATACAAGGATAAGTGATGTGCTTCCAGACAACAAATTTGTTTGTGCAATAAATGAACATCAAGGTCGCTTACACACCCAGAACGTTAAATAATTTATTTGGAACATAGAAGGTGCCCGTAAAGTCCCTATCTACTTTGTGAGTACACAGATCATTAACTGGGTTGTATGAAGATTATGCAAGTATCTTCCACTTCTCTCTTTACTCTGTAGGATTCAAAGGGATGCTAATATCTTACATCTTCATACTTTCATTATTAACGGGATAGCGCAGTCGGTATAGCGACTGGCTAAGGGCTGGACGACCGAGGAGTTGAATTTCGAGTCCCGGTAGGGTCTAGAATTTTCTATTCTCTACGTTGTCCAGACCCACCAGTCCTATTTATTGAGTACCTCAGGCTCTTTTCCCGAGGGTAAAGCGGCCAGGACGTGAAGCTGACTACGTACTTCCAACTAGTGCTGAGGTGAAGAAAACATGAGTCTATACATCCACTCCCCCATACGCCTTCACGGCGTAATGCTTAATTGGATAGGCACAAAAAATAAAATTAGCCTACTTTAATTAAATAAATAAAACAAGAGATTTTAAGGATACATTTTTATGGACTCGAAATTAGAGTACACTTTTCCATACATATTTTGAAAAGCGAGGGAAATAGAATGTTCACGTCTTTCTTTTAAACGCATACAGAAATCTGATACTTGTTGACTACGTTATATTTTAGCGTCCTGTTGCACTGATTCACGTTCATGATGTGTATTTGTAACAACCGTCTTACAGTGCACAAATTTCACTTTTCTCCTCACTACATGTTTCGGCACTAATCTGCCATCTTCAGGTGTGGTTTTATTTACATCAAACAATTGCACTGTATGCCATCATGTCTCCTTTATAAAATGATTAAAATGTACATATATCATGATAATAAAGTTTATATATTAAAACTTTTCAAGAATATAGGAAGAGCACTCCCATACGAGAGGATCGACATAACACGCGAATTTTAAGTGCGACATATAGATGATCTTGAAAAGTTTTAATATATAAATTTTATTATCATGACATATATACATTTTAATCATTTTATAAAGGAGACATGATGGCATACAGTGCAACGGTTTGACGTAAATGAATCGACACCTGAAGATGGCACATTAGTGCCGAAACATGTAGTGAAGAGAAAGGTGAAATTGTGTGCACTGTAAGACGGTTGGTACAAATACACATCATGAACTTGTTGACTACATTAAGAAAAGCTGACACTGCATAAGTTGAAAATAATCACTTAGGATAGTTAACTTTTCAAAATGAGTATGTTTTACCCCTGTGGCAGACCTATACTAAATTAATTAATTCAAACCATAATATTAACATTATCATTACTCGCCTTTGTGTATGTTGATGACTATCTTTTAGCTTTTACAAATTATCAAAAGAGGCACCACTTTAATATCTAACAAGCTAGACCATAATTGTTCATTGGACAAAAAAAGAAGTGAAACTGGGAATGCATAGTAAGTTGAATTAATGAATGAAAAAGAAATGAAAAATGTGTACCATTTGACTCTGCACTTTGTTACGCCTTAACAACTGTAATTATAAAGGTTATGACGTGTTTGCATGAGTTATTCTCTGTAGGCGTGCTTCTTCATCCGTAGTCATCGACTTTTCACTTCACACGGTTTCAATTGTGACATTTTAATTGTTGCGTTACTAACACATAAATCCGTGTCACATCAAGCAAAGTTTGTTGACGCCCTAAAACAATCGAGGTAAATCTGACGCGCTTGTTCCTTTGCTAATTCTTTTGCCTCATCTCTCCAGTTGTCACGGAAGATAAATTTTTTGAGGTCATGCAGACGTTGTAATATTTCAGTGTTATAAATGTGATGAAAACTCCTAATGACTGGGAGGGCGGTAGAGTTACTAATTGCCTGTGTGTCTGGCTGTCTGTCTGTACCTTCTTGACCTACTACCTTCATTGGAGTCCACAGAATTTCATTATTATTTTTATGATTGAAGAGACATATCGGAAGAAAAAATATAATGGTTCATTAAGTGGCGAGTGCTAATGCTGGGCCGGTACTTTCAGTGATCCGTATTTTTGGCATGTCATTGACTCAAGATATTGTAATTTCATAAATGCCCTTATGTGGTATATCCTGTGTGTAAACCTTCGCTACATAGTGTCATATAATTTTATTTACCAAATTAACAAGATATCTGTAGAAATGTTTTGTCGTTGTGACACTGTATATTAACACTTCTATTCTTGCGAACTCATAAAGCAAACATCTTTTCGGAGAAAAATTCGAACCGGGTCATAATGATGTACCCTCCAGTGAAATTCTGCAGTGATCACAGGAATAATTATTTCTTGGTTTGAAGAGCATTAGCTTCAAGGATGTGAGATCTTGAAATATAGTAGAAATGTACCACACATTCAGATGAACATGTCTCCTCCTCAGAAGTAATTTTTTTTCTCTCTTGGCGTGGGGTGAGACTGAGTCCACTTGGTACGTCTGCCATTAACTGGCCTCTTGTACCATCCCCGGATGATAGATGATGATGAATGTGGAGCAGTCGGTGGAATGAGAATTGGCAGGGAAAACCGAAGTACTCGGAGAAAACCTGTCCTAGTACCACTTTGTCCACCATAAATCCCACATGACCTGAGCCGGGCTCGAACCCGGGCCGCCGCTGTGGGAACCCGGCGACTAACCGCCTGAGCTATGATACGGCGTCCTCCACAGTAGCTTCTTTCGAAATGTCGGCTAACTTCTATGAGACTGCACGAAGTCACTCCGAACATATTGATGTAACGGTAAGGCTTCAGACTTGCATTATTGAGGTGCTCGGTTCGAAGTTCAGCCGGACACCGACTATCTTGAGTTCGTTCGTAAATTTCCGCATTCATGCCAGGAATATGCCTGTAGGCAAATTAGTCTTTCTTCCACATTTTGTCAGCTCATTATTCGCTGTCTTTCTGCCATTCAGCGTGACTCCGTCTGGGTTTGCTGACTGCATTTCTAAATAAACAATAATTATTTATTCGTATTGAAATTAACTACACGGCGTCACATTCCAGAAGGCAATTTGATGTCTGAGAGTTCCATGCAGCTTAGTTACACAGCCTAAATTCGTTAGTGCCGAAAAGTTGGATTGGAAATGCCTCTTTCGAGGTCAGGAGAGGAGGGGGGTGTGACATCGGCGGGAAGTATGCCTATAGTAAAAGGTAAAAATATGTAAAGCTGTCCCTATGCTTAACTAATTAATCACTACGCCATGAAGGCGTATGGGGGAGTGGATGTACAGGTCCACACTTTCTTGACCTCGGCACTAGCTGGAGGTAAGTGGTCAGCTTCACGACTCAGTCGCTTTACCCCCGGGGAAAGCGTCCACGGTACCTATCATATATGAGGTTGGGTGGACCCCAGTGCCGGTCTGGACGACGTGGAGAAGAGAAAATTCTTAACTTTACGGGGACTCGAACTTCAGCCCCTCGGTCGTCCAGCCCGTAGCCAGTCGTTATACCGACTGCGCTATCGCGGCTCCCAAATGTGCCTGTATTACCGGCCGCTGATGATAAGAGTAATGATAAATGAGAATGGGACATTGGTGATCTCTTCCCTTGAGATTCAAGAATCAAAAAATTCTATTCATTTCTTTTCTCCTTGTGTGCTTCATGTCCCACGTCACCGCCAAATAGTGGCTACCCCCACCATCAGGACAGACGATGAAAGAAAACCGCTACACCCAAACGCTGGTAATTGCCATGGTTCAACGTGTCATAATCCAGAGGAACAAACTCTCAGTTTTCCCAGATGTGGAAGCCTCACGCCTCGATCGATGTTGAGTCACTGATTCGCTTGGCTCTTACTGACATTGGTGAGACAGCGCTGAGTTTAAGGACGAATATGGATGATGAAATAGAAATGATATTAGGCATCAGTCAGATCATTCATGGAGCTGAGTCCATCTTGGGAAGCCCCCAGTTGTGCAGCTACTCAAGAACTTCAACATTTTATGGAACCCGAAGGTTCATTATCGTCTTCACAAGAGCCCTCCACTGGTCTCTATCCTGAGCCAGATCACTCCAATCCATAAGATCCCATCCTATCTAAGATCCATTTTAATATTGTCCACCCGCCTACGTCTTGGTCTTCCCAGTGGTCTCTTTCCTTCCGTCTTTCCAACAATATCCTATAAGTATTCCTCCTCTCCCCCATTTGTCCTACATGCCCTTCCAATCTCATCATCCTTTACTTGATCTTTATAATTATGCAGTATGTGCCAAAAATTTCAGTACTGAAATGAAAAGACGTCCTGTTGATACCACTGTCTATTCATGTGAAGGCCCCTTGCACGACAGAACCTTCTCACATCCTGAAGAAATGGTCCGATCACCATGTCCCTGTAGCGTTCTTGGGTGACGGTAAGAGCATTGCCTTCCTCATCCTCAATGAAATAGGGGCCTAATATACCGTGTGCTGAGACGGCACACCACATCGTCACACGTGTACTGTGTAGCGGTTTCTGGACGGTAACATCTGGCCGCTCAAAACCAAGGAAGCGAGTTGTCTGGCGACCACTTCCCTATGAGCGGAAATAATACTCAACTATGAATACTTTTTCCTCCGTCGAGAGACCCATTTCCAACAACTGCACAACTCAACTTCCTTTTCACTACTGGGAACACGTGCGGCTGGAGCTGTGCCCCGTCGACAAACGCACATGCGCGTTCAAGATGCGCGAGTTTCAGTACTGCATTTTTGGCGCACACTGTACTTGGAGAAGAGTACATGTTATGATGATATTAGGCACTATCCTAGCAGGAATGGAAGGACTGAAGAAACCCACGGAAATCTGTTACTTGAATTCCGATCTTATCCATCCCGCTACTGCTTCCCCTTCCTACTCGGGGAGTCTCTGGTTCGAATTTCAGTTTTCCTCAGGCTCTCAAGCTAATTCCTGGAATAGACTTTCAGACTCGCCATTGCTGCTTCTTTCCACATCATCCCGAAGTCACCATCATCCTCTCATTCGACACCATAGCCCCATAAGATGTTCAAAACGAAACAGACATGACCCCCCCCCCACTTCTATTGTTTCATGCTAAGATTAAGATTTTAACAGATGATTACCGCATTCGAGTGAGACAAGTCGGAGTTTCCACTATGGACTGGGGATGGGGGCACACCTGTGCAGACGCAGTCTACGTACTTAGTGGAAGCTTTTCAACTGTCGCTCACATCAGCTGTATGTGTAGAAATAAATTCATGATCCGGTGCTGTAATATACGTCAGACATTTCTCCGGGTTTTACTACTGATCTAGAGCGCTACGCTAGATCCCGGTATGTGTACAATAATAATTCTTCTAATATTGGATAGTATTTGTCAATCATCACAGTTTCAAATACAGAGGAATTTCCCGTCCTGAAAGTTTAATCTAAGAACCTGAACAGCCAGCCTAGAGCTCAGACTCTCTTGGCAATTCTGAGTTGTCTGGTCAGCCTGTGCACTTCACATTCTGTGCTGAATAGAGTGAAATGGATGTAGGATAAATATTGTTTCGCTGGAATTTTAATTCGCCCATAATTACATACATTTGTGATCTTTGCCTTATAGTTTGTAACCATCTTTTTTGTGTGCTTAGCTTTGGGTTAACCGAGCTATTTTCCTTCATCCCTTATCACCTTTGTTTTTTGTTACCGAAACATTGGGTTGCTTACCCTTGCTGATTCAAACCTTTAACAAGGACTCTTACAGAGTAATTATAAACCATCGTATGGTTATATTTCTTATTATTTTCCTGGACATTACATGTAACTTACATGTCTATGTTTGTTGTAACACGCATCCAGAAGATAATAATAATAATATTGCATCCCATAACCGATACAAATTCCCTTTCATCACGTTAAGTGGTTATCTTGGCCGGATGTTCCAACTGTCTTCTCATTTCTATTTTCTTAGCCTCAGATAATCCATATCGGCCAGCATTTCGCGTAAAGTATAGTTCAGGAATACGTACCGGGCACAGGGCTAGATATTACTAATAATTTAGTGGTTATTGTTAGGACTGCGGTACAGATTTGTCGTCTTCTACAGCTTCGTTTTATGATCCATATTACATAAAAAAGGATTGACTCTTCCGAGCTGTTAACCCTTTGCAGCTGCAAAAACCTTACCTTGCTTTTAATATCGGATGTTATATTTAAGTGACTAGTAACTTCAAGTGTAATCACTGCCTTCTTCAGCGGTTATGGGCTTCTAATGATCCCTCTGTAGATCACAGTAGCCGCGTGGTCTTAGGCATGAACTGTCTTCGCGCGCTCAAACACTGGAATTGTGAGTTCGAATCCCACTTGAGGCATGGATGTCTGTGTGCTTTTATTCTATGTCTGTGTTAGGTAGCGGCCTAGCGGCCTCCATAGTCTAGAGGTAACGTTCCCACCTCATGACTCGTAGTACGCGGGTTCAAATANGCGGAAAAATTCAGGGAACAAGTCCTCCGGGAGGGACTTTAAGCCGTGGGTCCTGTGTCGTAGCTTTACGGCACGTAAAAGAACCTCATATCTCCAAAGGAGGTCACTGAGCCAAATTAACGGACGTTTCCCGCCCAACAGTAGTCTCTAATACCTCTGGTAGAGGGGGGAAGCATTATAGATACCTCTCAGCTAGTAGAGCCGGTCTCGCTGGCTGGGCGGGACTGATGGTAAGCACCAGTACCGGTAGGATATAGAGACTGGTAGAAATCATAGAGGGAAGCACAATGGACCAATACAGGTCTCAGTGCATGGGGAAACTCACCCTCTCTAATAACTAACTAACTAACTATGTAGCGGCCTTGTGACGGGCTCATCCCCCGTCAAATGAGCCCTACCGACTCTGTAAAAAGATAAAAAAATGAAAAAGCGTCCAAGGTCCAACAAAGTTCTGTAGAGCCATAATCAAGCAATGACAAATGCCTATAATTTCAAAGCTGTTCTATAATCCAGTACTGTGAGTACTGCTAATTCTAGGGGTACGCGGTAGCGTAGTTAGTTGAGGCACTTTGCTGCAAGCCGGGAGGTCGCGGGTTCAATTCCTGATGAGGTCATTGGATTTTTAAATTGAACTAATCCTTCCAGCGGCACTATAGCCCTGGGGTCGACTCAGTCTCTAACAGAAATGAATAGCAGGAATCATCCTGGGGGTTAAAAGCGGCCGGCCCGTAAGGCTGACAACCTCAGCGCAATATGGGAACCATGACGTCTCACAACCCTATGGGCTTCCACGGCCTGTTACACGGATAGCTTTAACTTTGCCTTTACTGCTACTCCTAACATGGTCTGGAAGGGAACTTACAGTTCTCGGTTGTGCCCGGACTATTCTTAATTTAATATTGATGCAAACTGTACTGAAATTTGGTACCGTACATTTTTATACTCTTAAGTATGCTACAAATATGTCAGTGTCTCATTGACAGGCGGAAGGATATGTGAGTACATGTCATAAGGAATCATGAAATAATGAACAAACCTGTGTTGTTGGCCAAAAAATGTACGATTTTTGTTGATGAAATTATAAATTGTCACTGGCAATAAATTTTCTGTTGCAGTAAGTAAGCTGTTAAGAGAGTTGTGAACTACATTTCAGTAAATGTCCCACAGATCTTACAAGCAGTGCGTGTCCATAGCATATTTCATGCATTAATCCATTACTTATATAATAATAATTCTAACATTTCTTTTAATACTTTCATATTTACTTTGACATGTATTTTCCACATTAATATTTAAGAACATTGATCCCTACGTGGTAAATTATATTTTCGTATGATTATTTCCGCCTTCACAGTAAATATGAATTATGCTTTCCAGTCTGAAATTACTTTCCCTCGGAAAGCAGGTAAGGGCTATTAATACGGGTATATTCCACTTTTTAGTAAGAGAAATAATCTCTCCTCGAAAGAGAAATCTCCGCTTGTTCATACAGAAATATTTCTCTGTTCCAGTGTCTATGGCTCTACAGCCTTTTAGACCTTGGCCTCTTTTTCGTTTCTTAATCCTATACACAGTCGGTATGGCTCCTTGGTCGAGGGCCCAGCCCGTCGCAGGGCTGCTGCTTACTAGCAGAACAGCACAAATACACAATAAAAGCTCATAGACATCCATACCTCGATTGTGATTCGAACCCACGACCCCAGTGTTCGAGCGGGCGAACGCAGTTCATGCCCTAGACCGCGCGGCTACTGTGACCGTCCATACAGAAACACAACCAGCTAATAATTTCAACATAGAGGATGATGGCGGATTTTATAAACGTAATGCACTCAAATTTTCGAAATAAAATTTCTCAAATGAACTTCGCTAAGCTACCTATGGGTCAGCGCGTAAAAAAACTTTCTTTTATAGAGAAATGTAACTATAAATGGTTCTGACGTGTAAGAAGGGAATTATTTATTTATTTCAGGCTTTGTGTCGTGCGAGAAAAATTTTATTCCTGCCATAAATTTGAAATTGTGTCAGTGAACGCAAAAGAAAGGTTCTACTACCTTGATGATATTCTGGGTAATAATTCACTTAAAACCTTCTGCAAACCCCTGGTCAATTTCCAGATGAAAACTCTACAAATTACTGACACTACAACTCTTAACGAAATTGAAACGATTGTCAGGCATTTAACGTTTTTTCACCATCCATAAGATTCTTATAGTATGCTTCTCCAGATGTACATACTTTTGTCACCTTCATAGAATTATATAATCTCCAATAATTTATGTAAGGTAAAAAAGTAAATTTGTCCCTCTGCTTAACCAATTAAGTACTACGCCATGAAAGGCGTATGGGGAGTGGATCTATAAATCCACGTGTTCTTGACCTCGGCACTAATTGTAACTTATGTGTATAGTGTAATAATTGAATTTTTCTTTTTCTTACAGATGCACGGGATTCTGCGAGCAGTTTATGAGCAAGATACCAGAAATAATCAGCTGGCACTTCTATGTTATTAAGCGATTATAAATACTATTAAGTATGACATATTGTCAACAACGACTGTGATGCCTCCATACCCGCAATAGTTACTGAAGCCACTGCTGTCTCGTGCAATATCCGTCGTCTCGCTTCCCTATTGTTGCAATGAAGCAAGGATTTATCTTTGCTGCGATATTTTCCGACAGTTTTTGTGGGCGTTCGTGTTTAAGGGTGTCGAATTACACATCCGCGGAGTTTGTTTCCTTGATTTTATCAATATACAGGAACAGTTGTAGGCTTAAAATGGAAAACATGCAGTATTTCGTGACAGAGGATATGTCTGTTTTGTTGGTTTAATGAAATGTTCATGTAAGTTTGTTATCAGATGTTATCGTTTTTCTCTACCGTATGGAAGAGCCTTGTCACTGTCTTGACCGTGTACACCTGACTTTTCCGGTTCTCTGATGTGTAACATACTTTAGAGATCAAAAGATCTAAAAACCGGCCATCGTTACAAAAGTTATTGAAAGACAAGTATACATGGAATTTATGTTGGGCTCAGTAGCCCGTTGAATGTGTTCTTTTGTGTCAGACAACTTACCGTATTTCTTTCTATATTAAAACCATAATTATGTCACGTGAGCGTTTTTAGGCACTCCGTCCAGTCTCCTTCTTGTATAACAGAAAATCTTAACAATTGTGACATTATTATGGAAGAATGTAGTTTATTTATTGATTGCAGACGTCTACGCCACATAAACAGTATTATAATTGCAGTCGCTAATATTTCTGTCTGGGAAAGCGGAGTGTAATTTGCGGCAAACCGTGTGAAAGAGTTTCTGATAGCGCCCGCAGTGCGTGACGTAGAGGAGACCCGTGGTGATGTTCTTCTGTTCTGTTGATACAGGAAGCGTGCAAGCGCATGTGCGGTACAAAAATAAGTTATGCTTTAAACATAGTTATATATATATATGAGAGGTATATACAGTGAATATTTCATAATAGATATTCGCCTACAACTGCTAGAGTTAAACAGGTATGTGCATAATTATGTTTATACATATCGAAGTATATTCTTGAAATAGCATATTGAGGTTATGTAGGCTGTGAGCATTTCACAAGTATTCCTGTCGGAATTAGTGGCTATTTATTTCGGATACCTAACACTGAACACCTGATGGCCAAAGCGTTTAAAAAAGATTAAACAAAACTTAATGTCTGAATGTAATAACAGTATATTTTTGCATGACTCTACACGAGGTTATACAAAACACACGTACATATCCTCTCTGACTCTCAAACAAATGTTCGTGTACTGGTATGTTGTCTCACCTACTTCGTACAGTTCTCTCATGTGTTAGTTACATATTGCTGTCGTAGCCTGTAGGACATATTTTGAACTTCAGGTCGACTGAGTACGTGGCTACACCCCCGTTCTTATCGAATTTACAGCCCAAGAATGAAGCCCTAAGATGAAATTCGCTTTTTATACGCATACTCATGAAGTCTAAATGTTTATGTTTAATTTCAGATAACCTAACCTTTGATTAGTTTATTGAAAAAAAACTGTTATACGGGCAATTTTTAAGTAGATTATAAAGGGTTTTGACGATGGATTATAATAGAGAATTACTGGGTTATTGGACTTTCTTCATCGTTCGGTATTATAGAAATTAGAGAATATGACGTTTCGGAAAATTAGATCTGTTTCCGTGATTGAGGTTAGCTCTTTCTAACGGAACCAATTGAATAGGTGTAAAGGAAACAGATCCAGTTTCCAAAACGTTGTGCTCTCAACTTTTAAGAATATCGGGCCATGGACAAAATCCGAAAACCCAGTAATTATGAGAAAATTTAAGATTTTGCTCCATAATTTTATGCAGAATTTTGAATACTTTAATGGTCTCTGGTAACCTCATATGTGTCGATGCATAACGATCATTAACCCAACATTTCGACCATAATTTGAGTTCTTTCTGTAAAAACGAAGCCTGTGAATGACATTAGGTAGGCCTGTTATATATGCTAAAAAGATATGTTCACAATTTTTTTGGGGGGGAGGGGGCGGTTGAGCTTCGAGGAAGATCATTCAGACTTTTCGTTTTATAGCCTTCCTATTAAGTGAATTCTTAGAATTGAACGGTACCATGGGATCAAGTAAATGATATACTTTGGTTTCAAACGGAAGCTTTGAGTGACTATACTAGAATTATGAAAATGAGCGTGTTCTCTTATTTCCCAGGAAGTCACTTTGTCTTTAAGTGCCACTATATAGGAACCACCTCGAATTTTAAATATTGGCAGCAGATGTAACGTAAGAATTCTATAAACATTAATTTTAAATACCGGTAACCAACTTTATTTTCAAAATTTGGCCTCAGGTTGCTGCAGTCCTCAAGCTGGAGAGAGCAATACAGTGTATAATTCTAATCTCTGTAAGGATTCGTTAAACGAACTTACATTATTTGGAGGGATATTTTTATGGCATTGTGAAGCTGCTTTCATTGTTAATAAAGTTTTAAACGAATGTATAGTCTAGAAGTACTTTGCTGTCTTAAAGAAAAGCTGAAATTTAAATTTAAACAAACCTATTATACAGTGAAATGCAAGATGGTCTGTTGTTCCTACTTTTGTCCATTACTCTCTCAATTTATTCATTGCAGTTCAATCACTGGGTTTCATGTTCAACAGCTCCAGCATTGTTTTGCTTCAGACTGGTCAGATTGGTTAAGTGGTTTTGTCTCTTTTAAATTAAAGTTTGTAAACTGTAATTCTATTCACAGAAGGTTGTAAATATACAGAAAATGCAGCTGATTTAGGTGTTAATATCTTACCCACGTCATGCTTAGTGAATGGATCCAGCTCTACTTTCGCTTGCTGAAGAATCATAATGCTGTATACTCCTCAGAAATGCCCCATCCATAAAATTATTCACATTAATTGAGTGCTGTTAGTTTCGGTCTGTATATTTTCTCAAATTTGTATTTGAAAATTATTTAACAGCATATTTCATTGTAAATTTTCTCTAAAAATACAATTTTAACCTTGAATTTAGGTCTATATTACATTTGTCGCATGAAATATTAACATGAAATTATACCTACATTTTTCTTATGGTTCACAAAAATAGTACAGCTGTTTATACAAAAATTTTAATGACACTTCTTGTTAATATTGTGTTATGTGATCACAATAGCTGAAAGGTAAAATATTATGTTGGGACTGTTGACTTAATTAAATAGCATTTATCTTCATATAAATAAGCCGTTATTTTATAAAAACGTTTACGCTTACATTCCTGAAATTTGGGAAATAAATATCATACCTGCGTTTGCATCCACATGAAAAAACAACATGAAATGCAATGGTTATAAAATTAGAGGTTCGTGTATATACTTGTGTTCAAAGCACAAAATATATTAAGAAGACTAAATTTGTCAGCCCTTTATAAGATGCACAACATGATTCACAGAGGTTGTAAAATTCTGCACACTTCTGTTCGGTGTTACAGGAATAATTACCATTAGAGGCCTTTCTATGATTACCAATATTCATAACCTCAAATACAGGCTTTGTCTACAATGTTAGAAGGTGCTGGAATGAACCCAGTTAAGTGTGAATTATCGTGAGTGCTTCAGCCATGAAATTAACGTGTCAGTTTATGTAATTTCTTCGCCTTCTTAATCAGTTCGTTTAATAATATGTATCAGTTTAATTTCCGTGCTTCGTTCGCCTAATGTGACCGCCATGTGACCGTTCAGAATTTGTACGAGTGCAGAATCAGAGGAGATTTCACAACAAACTACATTGCCGAGCAGGCTGGTATAGCCGTAACGCTCAGAAATTGTAATAGGCAAGTTTTTCGAAACTCGGGGTTCGCATGTTTCTCCGCAATCCTTCGAAGTAAATTTTCTCGGTCAGGCTACGATCGCCTCCTTCCAAATCATTTCCAATTCGTTACTCACCAGTCGTCCTACCATTCGACGCTATTGCTTTAGACGGAGATGCTGATAACATTGTAAAACAAAGCAAGGTGCTACATTTGTATCAGGACAACATGCATAATTATGTGGCGAAGAGTCTAATTAGGATATTTGTATCTGTTGGCCAAGAATGGATCCTAAAATCCCTTAAATTGATGACTTTTATTGAGACATGTTTATATGTCGTGATTACTGCCTTCTGGGATGTGACGCCGTATAGTTTGGTAGGTGGGTACCAACGTTTAGGTGTAAACTTGAAGAAGGTTGTCGCAGATTCCTCTGAAATGTTCATACCCATCTACTGAACTACATGAAGTGATATCTCAGAAGACCGCCATCTTCATATCTCCATGAGAACCTCAGACCTCGTGAGGCTTTTAAGTCTTGTCCATCGAGACACATGAATATGTGAAGTTCTACTCGCCGAATTAAGAATTCCTTCAGCGCACACAGAAATATTGCTCTTTATTTGTGTCTGTACATAGGCGTTCGCCCGTTTCATTTTCCAAGTTACTTTAAACCAGCTGTACCAACTTATGACAGTGATTTATAACATTGGCAGCAGAACGAATTTTGAAACATGTGCCGATATTCTTTACGGTTATGATATTATAAACTATAAAAGTCTATAGGATCTGTTTTTGTCAATATATCTTTTATAAAACGATAGAGCAATACTGTAAAACATTATTTATTTTCATTTCATGAAATTGCCCTTTATCCAATCAACTTCTAAAGAATTAATTGACCCTACTCAAAGCATAGGCCTGCATTTCTAGTTCTCTTATCTAGTGTCTGTTTCGCACCTTGTAGAATGTTTTGTTCCCTAGAGAAATTATCGGTTTTGATCCCTTGCATGACGTGCAGTTTTATTTTTAAGTACTAAATGCATGCAAACTAGAATTCCGAAACGATGGTAAGACATTCTCAGTATAATAGCATAAATAAAAACGCATAAAATGTTTTAAAGGCATGTTAACTTTTGTCTATATGACTATTATGAATTTCTGCATGCGAGTACGTAAAATTATGTTTCCTCGGCCAACCAAGCGATTGTGTTTTTCGGGCCTTAGTGGAGGAAGAAAGGTTGGAATTATAGGCATAGCTAAACATTTGAGTTCGAGCAAAAAATTGTTTTGGGCATGTATCGGTGTATTCAGAGAACAATTTGGTTTTGTCTGCATTCCGGGCCTACTAAATTTCTCTGTACATTTCAATTTCAGATAAACCCGCACTTTACAAAAATAGTTTTACCATTATGCCGAATTTATAGAACTGAAGAATATAGAATAAATTATGACCGAAATATAATTTTTAGTTATATTAAATGGGCTTGTTTCCTTTGTAGCACAGCTGCCTTATTTCCTGAGTTAACACATCTAAAATTATTGAAGTCAAAACTAATATTATTAAGAGATTATTTCCCAATAATCTTTCCAAATTAAACTTAACTTCAGACAGGAAATTATATTCATTAATTACGATTTGAAGTATTCGCAGCGGTGGTCAAGAAATGAAGAAAAAACACTGTTATATCGTAATGTTGGCAGATCCAGGACGATAATTAAGTAATCCTACAGGAAATCTGTCTGAATGCTATCATCTCTGTTCTCTGCAAGCTAGCATTATTCTATATTGTTAGAGTTTCCGAGTGTCAAATACGTAGATTTTTGTATGCCAACTCTGTTTTCTTACCTAAAAATACACATTTGAGTCATGAAGAAACTGACCGGTAGCCAACTGATCTTCACGTCTGATAATCAGATTGTGACATGAATTCACAACATCGTGTTACACAACACCACGCACACTGCATCGTACTAATTATCCTCATGCTTATCTGCGCCCGTCGGATTAATTAACATCTAATTTCTTCTCTAATACAGTATAAAGTAGACGCAAAACTTGCCTTGTTTTACAAAAAACAGGTAATGTAATCCAGCAGTTTGAAGATAAGGCATAATTTATATTTCCCTCATGTACATAATTTTTCTCCCGGTTTCAGCAAAATCAGGATTTGTTATTAAATGATTTGTAAACAATGAACATCCATTATATAAAATATAGGAATTTGTTTCGAATATTAACGTTTTCACTTTCAAAAGGTTTAAAATGAAGAACATTTACATATACGTAGTTACACATAGTTTTATACTGTGTTATAAAATTTCTACAGTTTTATTTCTGTACAGGCACCTATAGCCATGGATGCTGATACGCCTCTAATCACCCCTCCCACACTCACACACACACACACACACACTCAGTCGCACGAACGCTCATTCACACGCACGCTCTCTCACACACATACTCACATCTACACACACTCTCACGCTCGCAGACGCGCACACACACATATACACGCACGCTCACACTCGCAGACATGCACACACACACTCTCACACTCGCAGACACGCACACACACTCACATGCACACACACTCTCATACGCTCACACTCACACATGTACACGCACGCTCACACTCGCAGACACGCGCACACTCACGTGTACACACACTCACACACGCAACGGATATATGCTTAAGCTCCTTCCGCCTTTAGTAAGCAAGGCTTGCTTCATTCCCCCATGTGTGGCGCTGTCATATCACATAACATAGTAGCAACACTCAGATGAGAATCATTTTCAGCTTCCGGGTGCCTCTGTTGCCGTCCGCTACAAATTTGTTTTCACCATGCCCAGCCTCCAAGCGAGTCTGAATCCGGCTATAAAACCGTGGACAGAAATTAGGACCCCGTGATTCTTGGTCACAGTTTCAGACATTGGCTACTTACCTGTCGCCGCATTGCTTACTTGTAATTCCTCATATCAAGAGAAATCCGCCAGACGTTCACTGGATAGGGCAAAACAGGGCTTGGAACGATCCGTACATATTTAATACAGTAGAGAATGAAATTCAAATTTGGATATTTTTCTTAGTCTCACTACTGGAAAACCAGTCTCTGTTTGTTCTGTTCAGAGCTAGGCTAATGGAACTTGTGAAGTGATAAACATGCCAAGTCAAACGTCCGGAACGATCTTGATTAGACAGACCTGCACTACACGGTAGCTTCATTGGGTTTAAGGAGCCCGAACTAATTATTCGCAGACTGAGATTTAATTTCAACTATTTTTTTATTGCTAGTGGGGTGGGACGAATTCCCTTGTACTGCGGTCAATTCTGGCCTATTGTACCAGCCCCAGATGATAGGTGAGGGTGATTGTGGAGCAATTGGTGGAATGAAGATTGGCAGGGGAAACCGAAGTACTCGGAGAAAACCCGCCCCAGCGCCACTTTGTCCACCACAAATCCCACTTAACCAGGGCCGGGATCGAATTCATTTCAAGTAAGTAACGCTTTATGTGACGTGGGCATTGACTTGAAGCCGAAGTGTCTTCCGAGGGGCAGGGCAGTTGCTGCCCCTGGCTACAGAGCAGACATCGGATCCTTCGGGTTCAGCTTCGATTAATTTCCGGGGTGGGGGTCTCTTCGCTTTTCCAATTTATCTCGTCATACTCTTCTTTCTTATAAAAATTTATGTAAATTTACCGCGATGTGTATTTTAGTCACTCAACAGGAATGCATTTATGATCTGCAAGCCAAAATTAATGATTATTTAAGGAAAATTAAACATTAATGGATTACTAAATATTCGTTGATACCATGTCGTGTAATGTAACATATATGTTGGCCATACATTCAATTTCCTTAACCTAAATTCTTTTTTTTCTTTTCGTCATTTACAGCGACTGTAAACCGGAACACAATATTAAAAGAGAGAACATAACAACTTCACCAGCAGACTTATAGGAACGAGTCAAGTCGGATTATGTTAAAACATGCGCTTATTTTTTAACATCAGTTTCTAAATTCTCAGGCTGATACTGTTGGGTAGTAAGCCCTGAGAAAGATATTTCCTGGTATTCTTCAGTCTCTCGAGAAAAATTCCATGTAGCCATTATCACTTCCGGTTGTATTCCTCATATATCGTCATTCATTATCGTTCTTCAAAGTACATGGGACTCTATGTAGCACTTCCGGTTGGTACTGCAGCTAGACCAACGTGTTGATGGGTCCTAGACAGTG